TAATTTTTAATCGAATTTTTTTGATAAGATCATATGGGTTGATTGCTAGGAAAATCAGGTTCCCGGGATTTTTATTGTATTTTAATTTTTGATGTTATTAGATTAAAATGTTAATTTTAGTTAAAATTTTCTCGGAACCTGATTTTCCTAGAAACCCTCCCATATGATGTCAAACGCGATTATCCTTACCCAAACTCCAATCTTACCTATAGTATAAGAACCTTTACCTATTTATAACTTCTAAAATTTTTCAGAACCAGAGAAGAAAATGGTTCTAGAAAAGAAGATGGAAAGATGGAACCAGAAGATAAATGGTTCTATGAAGTCGAAAAGATTAACTAGAAGATAAAATGGTTCTAGAAAAGATGGAAAGATGGAACCAGAAGATAAATGGTTCTATGAAGTCGAAAATATTAACTAGGAGATAAAATGGTTCTAGAAAAATTGAAATAGTGGAAAGATGGAAAAGATTTCGAAAAATTAAACCTTTTCAAATTTAAGTTTCAAACGGAAGTTGAAACATTTCAAAATAAGAGTTCTAGAAAGTGATAATGAAAAGATTGACTCATCCTTTTCATATATAGATAAGTAGTGGTGATTTAGGAATTAATAATCAACCATTTCCCGAGATGAAAGAATTGTTATGGGGACCATTATTAGGAATAGTTGAGATATAGGGAAATTGTAGGGCTAGAATAATATAAATGCTTGGAATATAAATTCTAGCTCAGTTCCGATTTTTATTTCCCCCCTTTAATGTAGAATTCACGTTCACAATAATAAGTTATCAAAGACACGTATTGATCATTTACGTCAAATGCTAATCAAACAACATATCATTTTTATGTTCTGATTGTTACATTATTCTTCCGGATATATCAGGTGAAAAAACTCCTTCAATTAACATGGCATTGTTGGGTCTGAAATGGTCATAAAGGTAGTTAAAGTATTGTCAAATGGTATACATATTAGACAATTCAAATATATGAAGCTGTAGTAAGTACGAAATAGAAAAGTTGCTATTGTGATTCGTTATAGTCTATATTTGTTAAATTTATTAGTGCTTTTTTTTTTTTTTATAACCATATATATATATTTTTAAACCGTGTTTATTATCAAAATAAAGCATCTCTAAATCATAAACTCTAAATCATTTAAATCATTTTTATTTCATTTAAATCGATATAACTGTAGAAGTTGAACTAACAAAACTCACAATGTTTGATGTTACGCCCAGATCTAAGATTTAGATAAATTGCACAATTTAAACTTTAAAAAATGTGTATATATATAAGTTTTTCCATTAAATTGAATGCCCACCAAAGATCAAAGAAACTTTCATTAAACAGTATATGTTTAAGCAGATTTGAGCACAATGTCATGAATTTGCTGTTTAAATTCGATTTTATTAGCCTTAGTAGATGATTGTGATGTAAGTTCGGCAAGATCAAGTAAAGGTAATGCGGATTATCTACTTTCCATTTAATGTCAAGAGCCTTTACTAAATGAATGTTTATGTTATAGAATTAAAGCTAATAACTTATTTGAAACTTACTATCATTTGGTAATCTATAACTCGTAATTCATTTTCAAATATTCCCTTACTTGTTTAATAAACCTTTTTGTGATTGCCAACTGTAATTCCCGCTTCTTCACAAAATATGACAGGTTCTTTTTCTTCTATAGGAAAAATTAACCTATAGCTAGGTTTTATTTTAAAAAATTAAAAATAATCAAATGAGAATGAATTTTTTAAAGACATAAAACAAGTGAATTGTTATGCATAATTAAAAATATTAATATACCAAATCCTTTGTTCCTCATGAAATTTATCTCTCTAATCTTAAGTCTCAGACAATCATAACTAATTTTACCAATACGTTATGAAGAATCTTTCTCTTGTCAGTTGACAACGAGCAATTAAACACATACTTTTTCGGTAGCTATAACATGGGAGCAGAAGGAAATGAAATGAAGAAACACCGATCTTTGTAATTTGGTCACGCATGTTAAAGCATTTCGAAGTGAGGGTATCGGAATGCTAGCATAAATAAATAACATTTGACATAATCAATATTAATTAGTAAATTTCAAGACAAAAAAAAAATTGTTCTACCAGGTGATAGATGAACTATTGTGTCTTCAATTTCGGCTATTAAATATCCAATCTCCGGAAATGCCAATATCTTCACTGATTGAAACATGTAAATTGAATTACTTGGAGGTGAGCTTCTCGGAACCGGAATTTTCGGGACTTCGCCTGTCAATACATTTATGACTGCCCAAGCAGCTGATTCCATTGATAATAGATGTTGATGTCAAGGAATCGGATTCAGCACCGAGAAATACTGGGATAAAATTAAGATAATAAGAAACTAAACCCTGTTTGAAAATAATTATAAATCAATCAAATAGAAATTCAAACTTAGTATCATGTTCAATTCCACTTAACACTTAACATTGCCTGAAAGTCAAATACTTGATAATAATGGGGTTAGTGAAAAATGACGCCAAACCCTATGATAAAAAGAGTAACATTAATACATTATAATGAAGATAAGGAGAAATATAAATATATTTTTTATTTACCATTCGGAGTTATTGTAAAACTTAAAATTCCAATG